TCTCCTTGCTCCTTCCTTCTTCCTCTCACTGCTGAGTCCACCACAGGAGGGAAGGAGTGTTGTCAAGTGCGAAGTGGTACGTCCCATTACCCCCCACCCCCTGCCCGCCTTCATTTCTCCCCTCACCTCCTCCTCTCATATCTCGCAGTATTTCCAGGTAGACGACTCCAGGAGCAGCTTGATGCATCCAAGGTGGCCAGAAATCAAGTTCCTCTCCTCCTCCCTCTCCTCCTCTCCCCCCCAGCCCTCTCCTCCTCCTTGTCCCTCTCCTCCTCGTCGTCCCTCTCCTCCTTGTCGTCCCTCTCCTCCTCCTCCTCCTCCTTCTCCTCTTCCTCTGCTGCCAGCTTCTGACGTATATCCTAGCCTCATTGCATGTCCCTACATACACACTGTAGATGCAAAGCAGGTTCGTTTCTTCTAACTCCCCCCCTCTCCATCTCTCCCCTTCCCCTCTCCTTGTTGCTCTGTTTCATATTTCGTCCTTCTCCTTCCCTTCGTTTTCATCTGCATGACAAGTGGCGGCTGCAGGAGGAGGATGGGGAAACGACATCGCGTCTTCCCGGCATCGGCCGTCAGCCCTGCATGGGAGACTTTTGTCATCTTCTTCCGCAGTTCTTCAAGGTAGTGAGGGGAGCACGAGCAGCAGGAAAGACTGGATGAGCATGGGAACAGGTTGTAGAGGATTTGAGGGCAGCGAAGAGGATAGAGGAGTCGAAAAGAGGTCGAGAGAATGGAGAGAGGAGGAGAAAATTGGGAAAGAGGTAAGTAGAAAATTGTAGACAGTGAGAAAGAGCAGCAGCAGCAGCAGCAGCAGCAGCAGCACTAAGTGATTTGTTTTTCAGATTCCCAACATTTTCGTCTTTTCCACCCTTACGAGTGGCAAGTGCTCGGAGGGGACAGAAGTTATCTCCCTAGAGCGAATCCAGCAGACTAGGACGGAGATGTCGAGAGCACCCGAGTGAGACCCCCTTCTGCCTCCTCCTCCTCCTCCCTCCTCCTCCTCCTCCTTCCTCCTCCTCCCCCTCTCCTCCTCCTCCCCCTCTCCTCCCCCTTCCCCTTCCTTCCCCTTCCTCTTCCTTCCCCACCTCCTATATCTTGCTCCTCCTCCTCTTCCCCCCACCCTCCTGACCTCCTGTCCTCCTCCCTGTTCCTGTCTTACAGATTCACTGTAGCCAAGGAACATTCCGCGTAGCTCAAGCGTCTCGCACGGTCGTGACTCGTAAGAATTTTGATTCTGCCCCTAATCCATACCACCAACACCTCCTCCTCCTCCTCCTCCTCCGCCTCTTCCACCTCCTATCCAACCTCTGTAGAAGGAGGGAGCCTCACAGGCTTGATTGGGAATGGGTGACGAGCGAAGTCCGAGTGGGTGCGTATCACATGGACAGTTGAAGTCAACCGTGTAGTCCCTGGCAGCTTCGTTGT